CATTAATGGCTTCCTTATAATCCCCATCAATGAATTGGCTTCATTACTCTGCTCTCCTCCCCACTGAGAGCTGATGTGTGGGGAGTGTTCTGGCGCACTATGGCTGCCGTCGCATCATCCAGGTGGGGCTGCACACTGGTGGTGGTGGAGGGGATCCCTATTACCTGTAAAGCCCTTTGAGTGGAGTTTCCAGAAAAGCGCTATATAAGTGTAAGCAATTATTATTATTATGCAGCTTTTATTCAATTGTTTTTGGAAAGGTTTTCTCTACATAAAGGTCTAAGCATACCTTTATAGGCATGAATTATGGTCACTTTTGCAAATTGTCTGCCTTTTTTTTTCCCACACAATTTGTCTTTCTTACACTTGTGTTTCAGGCACATTCAATCCTAATGGGGGTTTCATGTTGTGTACACTAAGGCAGGGGTCCCACAGTTGGGGGCAACCTTGTTGTGAAAGGCAATATATTAAAAATAAATTGAATTGAATTGACAGTCCTGCTCCTTTAAAAGTCTTTTTTCAAAACCAGCGCTGGATGAACAGGGAGAACCTTTAAAACTGTAATTGGCTCATTAGCCCGTCATGAGCTGGTTCAGGTTGTTACGAACCCAACTGGCCTGAAAGCCCACGAGGACATCAGCCCTCCAGCATCAGCACTGGGGATCCCTGGATAGGCAGTGGCAGGACAGTTTCACAGCTATGCAAGGTGAGTGGGTAAGCATCCTTGTTCTGCGAGAGAAAACCATGCGAGTCCTACAACCCGAAATCTCAAGCATGAAAATAAAATTGCAACCAGAAATGGCCTTTGGGTATACAAATACTGCTGGCAAAGGATTAGAAACGTTCCGGCACTTATTAATAAAAGTGTTCTGTGATCTCAAGGCTGTGACAGATTGTGGTTGCAGCAGCAGGTCACTGAAGAAAGACAAGCTGCAGTGCTCGTGTCTGGAGTTTTAGAGCACCTTCAAAGCTGACAGAGAAGCCTGGAAAGCCGGCTCAGCTTCTGGGCAAGATCGCGAGGCCTAGGGGTTCCTAGAGGAGCTGATCTTGCAGACCCACAGTGCTTACATGACCCCAAAAACTGGTCAGGTCACCCTCATGTTAGCAGACATATAATAGTTCCCTGCTGCTACTCTTTGGTGTTTGGCTGTGGATTTTTGTTCCGTTTAAAAAAAAAAAAAACATTTTGACCAACATCCTTCTGTCCAGTTGGTCATCTCCCTGTTTGATCTTGGTGTGCGAATATCACTCCTCATCCTCACTGAGAAAAGTGAGCTAACAGTTCCATCAGCCGGCAGATTCCACTACTAGATCGTAAATCCAAACCCTGTGTCAGACCATCAGGGGTTAGCAGTTCTAAAATATCTTTTAGACCAATGTGATTAGACCAATCTTATCTTACTGGCTTGGGATACCTGCAAATCCAGGGCTTGTCTGTGGTCTGAAGACACTCGTTTCCCTTAACAAACCACAAGTCCTGAACATAACATTTAAAATCTTTTTTTATTACTGTTTGTACAACAGTAAAAACATTGGATTTCCAGTTAAAAAAAAATATACATATAACTTACAGACAATTCACAAAGCCCTTTCTTATGCATGAAAGACATCTTTTAAAGTGGCCCGGACTCAAGATGAAGCGAAAAACAAATGTAAAAATTCCAGACATCTCCAAAAAACAAGACTAATACAACCTGAAACAGCTGGGATTGTCGAATCACAGTGAAGCCGTATTTTATGTGACCAGTCACACTTTGGCAATTCCTTGTCTTCTGTGCCACTTTTAAACACCAAGGGGCAACATCGCAAAGTGTTGATGCAGCACGCAGACTGCAATCTTCGTTTCAATGGACTGGAAATCTGCAACCCCCAACCCCATTAGTCAAACCCAAAGAGCTCCTTTTACAGAGCCATCAGTTCTGGTCAGGCAACCATTCCAGCTCAGCTGAAACAGCTTTTCTTTGTCCTCTATTTCCAGAGTCACTGATATTCACCTTAGGATCTGGTATCTTAGGTAGGATCTCTTTCCATCCTGGACTCCTAAGGACTTGACGTGCATCAGCTGTTCACTTGCTTGCTCTTTATTACCACTGCTTCCAGGTCTTTTCTCATTGAGGATTATGAGTAATGTGTAAAACCTGGTGGTCTCCAATCCATCTGGATCAGGATTAAACACTGTTGGTTTTAAGCACTCCATTCCAGAGAGTCCATTCCCTCTTTTCTATTTGATTGGCAATTCCAGCATGTTTTTTCACCTTTCGCTAACACACTGTAAGTCCTCCTTCACCGCCCCCCCCCCTAAAAAAAAGACTTTAATTAAGTAGCAAAATCAAAAAGAAATACCAAAGCAGCCTACAGTAATATATTATCCCCCAGATCTTCACTGAGAAAAATGCCCCATCTCCTAGTTTGTCCTCCCGCTCACAAGGGAACCCAGAGAGAACTTGGCATGGTGGGGAAAAAAATTATGATAACTCCTACATACAACAAAATCAGATCAGTGTAGCCTAGTGAAGTCCCTGAGATCATGTCTTCTGAGAATCTCTCAGAACAGCTGTACGCACATGAAATAACCTCAGACCCGAGCAAGCAGGGTCACTGATGCATGAATCATAATTAAAAAATGTCCTACTTATTAAACATAAATTTATCTTTACTGAATAAACCCATAATGTGGTAACCAGCTCTACTGCAGTGCAGTAACCTTTACTAGCTCTATATACACACAACTCTATAAATACACACATATACAGCCTATGTTCAGTTCCCCACCTGAAGGCCTTGTTGATGTACATATCAATAAAATGATCAATTTTTTACAGTACAGCTTTGATAAAACTCAACAGGGCCCAGCACAGTTCTTTGCTGTGGTTTGTGAAGGAATAATATTTATCTTTGTAACTGAGCCCATGCAAAACTCATACCTAACAGCCAAACCTTTAAGACTGCAAGCAATTTCTGTACTCTGTGCAATGCAAAATTCACTTCATTGTACAGCGGGTGAGTATCCTGAGTACTGTCTGTGCAGCTCAGAATGTGCTGATCTCTGAATGCAGCACAGTGCAAACAGCAAGGAATGAACTCTCCAGGACCAGGGAAGAAAATTGATCACGACAACCGAGGCACAGGTGTGACAGTGCAAGCAGAAATTTGTTTGCGAGAAATTCCAGAGGATGGAATGAATTACATTTTTACGGGTTTCTGACACACATAGGAGGAACCTGCAGATTTCACTTCGGCTTGATTTGTTGCCGATTGCTCCAAGCTTTCGGAAAAGTTATAAAAGTGCAAATCTAACAAAAGACAAACGCGTGAAAATGTTTCGGTCACAACTGAGGCAGTTTTCGTTCGATTAGGAAACAGCTGAAGAGGGGCTCCTTGTGCACAAATGCAAAAAAGTCTAGACAATCTCTCAATAAAGATGACCGATATCATTAAAAAACACACCAAGAAAAAGTAGAGAAACCTGAAGTAACTACCCACTTGCGCGAGCGTGTATATACAGAGATATACACACAGACGTCTGTACCAAAATCCAC